AAGAGTTTTTTTTATAAGGAATGCTCAATTTCAAACTCAACCCTAAATATATATATATAACCAAGTATCTGTTTGTATATTTTAGAGAAGATAATAGAATTATTTCCCTAATTGATCTTTTAAAATATAGTTAACAATGGCCTTCTCAAATTAAGTTCACTAATAGAAAAAAATCTAATATATTTTACATTTAGTCTAGAGTTACATTTTGAGAAGAGTTTTGATTTTTAAATGCCAAGTAGAAAGGTGTATTATCTCATTTGTCAAGAGATGATACAATCTAGTGGAATGAAATGTGTATCCATACAGATGGCTTTTGCTTCTACTAATTTTATCTTTTATAAAACCCTAGTAAAATTTTTAAAAATCTATTTCATTTCAGCATCTTATTTTTTAAAAAACCAACATTTTGGTAGAAGACAAATTTATATAATTAAACACTTTAAAACAATATGGCATGTATTATTTTCTCACAGAGCAACAGATACTAATGTGTATGTTTTATCTTGTTAAAATAACAAAAATCATCTGAAAATCAGCACAATATTTCATTTATTTATTGTATAAGTTTGGCAAACAGCACAAAAATCCAGCAACATTTTAAACATGTAAAAAAGTCAAATGCTAAACAGTACTTTTTTTTGTTTTTTACATCATTAGAAATAATGAGTACACATTTAAGATTCTGCAAAGCTAGCAAAATGAGGGTGCCTGGCTTCTGAACATTACCACAAAAACACACATAAAAAAACAATATAATTTATCTTTACAAAAATTACAGCCAAGCAATAGAAAAGAAAGATGTTAATGAAGATACCAACACGTATATTTACTACATGTATCTTATACATTGAAATGCTACATCTTGTACCCTGAAATGCCATGTGTAGAGAGCCAAGCAGAGTAAATTTAGGCTCATCACTGAGGTTAAGAATTATTTGAGAAGAATTTAATTCTTACATGTAACACACTCAGTCAGAACTTTCTCATAGAGCAACTGCTAGATCATAACAATGTATTCCACTACATTCCACTATCTGAGAAGTTGAGTCTTCTTTGTTGGCAGTATAAAATTTCTGACCAGTATCAAAATTCTGGTAAAACACAAATTGAAGGCATTTTCTAGTGTATGCAAATGTTATAAGGGGCCTCAATGAATGTGGAAGAAAGTCTTAGATTTTTCACACTAAGTCTCTGCTGAGCTTTGTCAAACCAAACAGCTCAACTATAAGGCAAGAGAAAACAACCCCCTATAACAGAATAGTGAATCTACCAGGAAAATAAAGGAATTCAATCTTAGGGAAAAATTCCCTATATTAATAGATCTGAAACAGTTGGCACTGAAATAAACGTCTAGAAATTAACTAACATCTTGACATTCAGTCATTGGTTCAGAAGCCTGACAAATAATCTGTTGGTATATATTATTAAAAAATTAACTTTTTGGAATCAGCACCAGTCCCCAAAACCTCAAATTATAATATTTAATCTTCATTAAAATACATCCTTTTTGTGCTATATTAACACAACTACAATTAGGTTAAAGAAAGCTGAATTTACTCAACTTATTGTATATTTTTATGTATACTGGGTAGCAATTTAAATTTCTTTTATTTACTTGTGCTTCTGTTTTGGGGCACTTTGATTGAAGAGAAATTCATTTCACAGGATTACATCTTGCTAAAGCATTCTTTAGCATTGGTCCAAATTTGAATTCCCTAAAAACAAAAATAAGTTTAAAATGTGATTCTGGAAGGAAATCTGAAAACCTAAATATTTGGCTTAGTGGTATTGCTAAGTTTTGCTTTTTGGAATAACTAACAAGCCCAGCAAGTATGACACTATTTCAGAAAATGGCTAATATAAGCAAATGTCTAATGCTTCTGAAAAGAGTAAGAGAATCTCTTGTATGAGCTTATCTTTAAAATGGAAAAAGAACAGGACAATTGGTTGGAAAATGGACTTTTCAAGGTTCATATCATAAACTCATTTACTCATGTCACATACTCATATAATTTCTATTTGTAAACTAAACAAGTTTTCAGTTTTTTCAGTGTAATATCTGAAACAAAAACTTCATTAGTCTAACAATATAAATTGAGTTATTATTAGCCTAATAACTAAAGTTTTGATAAAAAACTAATTATGCACTAAATTATCAAATCCCTCTTAGCAGGTCTGGCAGTCTACTTAGCACAAAGCTCCAGATGGCCTAATATGCTTAGACAAAAACACATTTGTAAAGATGTAACACTAAAACCTAAGGAAGTGGTAGAAATAAAGGTATTTTTTCAATAAACAAGGTACATATTCTCCAATAATAGCTAAGTTATCAGAAAGGAAAATTTTCTTTAATACTTAAGCATTAAAAT